TTGCTTTACTATTTACTCATGTTATTTTATGTCATTTTCTCCACGTGAAAATACTGTAATATTAGTCCTAAAATACTTTACCATGGTGCCCCACTGAGGTGTTGCCTTTACTGAAGCCTTCCTGCTTTCCAGCTTGGGCACATGAACGTGTTTCCTACAAAAAGCTGGACTCCTGCATGGGCTGTCTGGTGTGGAATTATGTACCCTCTGCCTCCTGCCAAGTGAGCTGGAGCACAAAGCCTGCCTTGCCTATGGGCATGGGAAGTATGGATGCAGGAGTTTCACCCCCTTAGCTCATGGTCACAAAGCCATGGTTCTTCTGCAGCCTGACTTCAAGTCCACTGAAGACAACAGGGACCAATCCATGTGTTCAGCAGAATTTGGATTATCCTCTGTACGATTCCTGTTGGGATCCCCTTGTTCTGCTCCAGCAGAGTGCCCTGGGAATTGGCTGGGAAGTTCTCTGCAGCAAAGGCAGAGGGATCTGTCTCCAATGTGTGGAATCCTGCCACCCCAGGGACACACCATCACCACAAGGAGGAGGAGAAGAGAGCCAAGCCCGGGAGCTGCCCCCTCCAAACCTGGCCTGTTGGCACTCCTGCTGGAGTCCAATGGCAGGCACAGGTCCTGCCACCAAAGCCACTGCTGCCTGCCCTTTCCCTGAGCCACAGTTCCCAAGTGCTGCACATCCTGCTCCGTGCTGGGCACTTGGAGCAGAGGGCGAGTCACGGACTCAGCCTCTGGGCATGGGCAGGAGTGGAGGGAGGGCAGCACAAGGAGGAGCAGCACTTTGGGCAGGAGGTGGACAAAAGGGCATTATTGCCTCAGAGCAGGGAGCAACCCCCACCCAAGGGGGCTGCCAAAGTCAGTCAGCACTGCTGGACTCTCCACAAATGGTTTACCCTTCTGAAGCACGGGGAAAAGCTTCCCAGTGAGAGCAGAGCTCAGAAAGGCACTGGTAATCAGGTCTGCTCAGGAGAGAGGGAAAGGTAAACACATCCCTCCCATTTCTGCTCCATCCCACAGTGCTGCTGGGTTCAGTTCTTAGGACTGTAATTAGTAAATCACACTGATTGCCCCCGAGAAGGGAGGCCAAGGGACACTGCAGCACGAAGGGAAGCCGTGATTTTGTTCTTTCCCCTCATACCTCACACCTGAGCACCTGGTTTTTGCTGCCACAGAAACCTCCCCAGGGTCCCAGCAGCCAGGGAGTACTGGCAGAGGAAGCAAACCAAAGAAAGGATCTGTTTGCACACAAGTATTACAAGTAACAGAGAGCAGTGAAAAGAAGAATTCTAAAATCTGTAGTTGGGTCTGCCATCGAGCGGAATGTTTGCCATTGTTTTCAGAGAGACAGCAGCTTCTCTTCACTGTGAGGAAGTTAATAGATTACTGGGCAGTGAATAATGTGCAGTTCTATTTACATCCACTGCTGGGACTATTTTGGGCCCTCAGATAGTGTATCTGTTCTCAGGTCTTTCTAAAAGCAGCATGCTACACTTTTTTTGCAAGCAATTCTGGGCAGCAGCTACAACCATATGCTTCAGTCAGCTACGAACTAGACAGATCATTGTTTGTTTGGAATTTTTTTATTAAACCAATTGTACTGGATCAATGCTTCCTCTAAGCAATAAAATACAATTCTGTCTACCCGGTAGAAGAGCTTTCAAAGTCACAGATAAATCTTGATCTAGGAAACACAGTGTGGCTCTGCACTGATGTGCAATCAACCACAGATGCAAATGAACTCCAGCTGCCAGCACACACATCTGCACCTCAGAACGGGAGCCAGGATTCTTAATTTTCATTAGAAATTGTTAAGACACCTTTTAAGTGCTTCTAGAACCAGCCCACTGCATTAGTCAGGAGTACTCGGGGGCACTGAGCTTGATTTTTATAAAGGTCATTTGATGTCTTTTCCCCTCACAATGGACTAAAAGCAGAGATCAACAGAGCCTGAATCTATATTAATTTGTTTTACTCTTGGAGGGTCATAGATTTGCCACTGGAATTAGCCCCGTTAGATGCTAAAATGGTAATTTAATGAGACAATGATGAAAGCCTCTGTTCCATTCCAAATCAGGAACTCCTCTGGAAGCAGAGCGCGAAGGAGCAGCGACTCCGTGGAGTCGGGGAATTGCACCAATGTCATTTCACAGCAGTGCATCGGCCTGGAGTGTTCCATGCAAACTTCCCAGCTCCAGCTGCCCGGAGCCAGCAGTCACGAGGGCTGCAGCCCTGGAGCCTGGAGATGCACCTCACTCACAGAGGAGAGGCAGCTTCCTCCACAGGCACAGAAAGCCAGCTCAGCCTCTAAACCTTTTCTTCACTTTGAAACTTGACCAGCAAACACTGCTGCACAGCCTTGGTTCCAGCCAAGGGCAGGATAATGGAGCCTCCAGGATGCCGAGGCTCCGGGATCCGCAGCCGGCTGGAACACGGAGCAGTCAGGAATTGCACTGCGTAATTCCCCAGGCACACTACACCCTCCTTTGGGGCACGGATACAGCTCTTTGATAAGATCTGCTCTTTGGTGCAATCTGCTGCATTTCAGAGGTCAAAAAATGTTAGCCATATTCATGGGAGCTGTTTCCAAGAGGTATGCCTTAGCAGAGGGCAAGAGGGAACACAAAGCCCAAACAGAAGGTGGGAAGGCTCCCACTCTTCCCCCTCAAGGCAGCCATTGTCCACAGGTCACTTTCCATGGAAGCCCATGCTCTAAGCAGCATTGCTATCCAAACAGATCTGCTGCAGGTGACCTAGAAACAGGGGTGAACAAAGCCTCCCTGGAAATATCCCCCCTGAGCAGGCAGTGGTGCATCCAGCTCCTCCCGGCCTCAGCACATGGCTCCAGACACTCACCCCACTGCCCCGGCCCAGGGGGACAGCAGGGACACTCCGTGCTGCTGGGCTGGGCTGGGCTGCTACACCAGCTCACAAGGAAACCAGCCCACCTGGAATGTGCCCACAGGCACAAACAGCAGCTCTCTGTGCCTTCCCAGCTCCATCAGGGCAGGGGCTGTTACTTACACCAGGAGTCACCCATGCACCCACAGAGCTCTGCACGCACAAACAGCTCAGTGCCAGCAGCTCCGCGCCATCATGTGGCTCGGGGAGCCAGGGCTTGCCAGCAGACTCCATTCCTTCGGGCAAGGCCTCATTAGCCAAGTGCCTCAGGAAGGAAAAGTTACCTCATCATCTCGCAGAATAAGCACTGGCTCTGTAGGAACCTTAAAATCTCAAACTCTTGGGTACATCTCACCTTGGGCAAGGTGGTTACCTCATCTCCTGCTGCTGAAGTTTGCCAGGATGGTTCTGTGCTGAAAACAGGCACAGATATGGAAGAGTATAAACCCACTACAGAGACAGAAGGATATGGAAGCTGAACACTGCTTTTGCCTAACTCCAGATCCAACGCAGAGACTAAACCCCAAATTTCCTGAGGGTGCGACATGCAGAGCACGCCTTGCTAGTATAACCCAAGAAAACACAGCAGTTAAAACTCCAGACTCATGGCAAATACTGCAAATATAGCTGAGAGTACGAAACTGGTTTTGTTCTTTTGAAAGCTGCTCATTCTCACATGTCAGTGTTTGGGAGCTATTACTTGGTCAGTCGCACTGGGAGGCAATTTTCTCCTGGTTCCAGTGTGGGATTGGGTAAGGCTGCGCTTGCAAGGACTCTGCATCATGCTGTAGCTGCTGGAAACCCTCCTAAGCTCAGTCAGCTGTGTGCTTGGGACACTTGAATGCACTGAATTTAAATGACAGTGCAGTCTTCCAACTCACAGAGCCTTCTAATAACATTTGTTAATCCAAGCAAATATCAAGGAATCTGGTCAGTGCCAGTGCTGAATCTGCTAAGCATGTGGGCTGCTTGCTAAATCCCTAATAGGTGGTGTCAAGAGGTTTGTCATTCCTGCCTTTGGGAGGCCAAATCCACCCTGAAACTCCTTCCTGCAATTATCTCGCTAACTGTATTTGAGGGAATCATGCATGGCTCCTTGCAGAGTGCACACATTCAATAAAATCAGATAGTGTGACAAAGGTGTGTTTGAATAATGCTCTTCTCCTGTGTGCTTTTAAATGTGAGATGTAAGCCCGCTGTAATTAAAGTTGAAGCAATAAACCTTAGGCATTGATTGCACTCAGTAATTAATTATTGATTGCAGTGCTTTAGGTACATATTGCAGAGGACAGTTCACCTGTGCAGGAGACAGTACTTTGCTCAGAAATACCCAAACACAGCCCCTCTGTGCAGGACCATACAGGACTTTACCAAAACCAGCTCTAGGCTTTCCAAGTTTATTTACCTATTAACCTCCACAGAAATGTTGATGTGGACTGAGAGCAAGCCATTACTTCGGTGAAGTCAGTGTTAACTATTCCAAATCCAAACTAATTTGCAAATGAGGATGAACAGATGGAAAAGAGGCTCGTTCTCTGTTAAGAACCTTGTTAATGAACCTGCCATCCCCTGCACATCCCAAATCCCGAAAAGCCATGCTGCAGTAAGACGCCTACACAGCAGCAAGAGTAGCAACATCCCTGCCTAACTCTTGGAAAGGAGCAGGGAGAGGACTTGGAAGTGTGAAAACGGGAAGCATCAATCAAGCAGAGCATCCATGGAAATGCAGGACTAGTTAAGATCAGAGATTTAGAGTTGTGCATCAGGTGGGAACAGTTTTTCCCATTTACAACGAACTTAAAGAGAGCCTTTCCATTATAAAAACCCAAAGACAATTAGTTTAAAAACAATTTAAAATTGCTAATAGTGTGAGGACACTAAAATTAAGGTGAAATGGAAAGGAAACCTGCAGTTTGTTTGAGTGGAGCTCAAACAAGATCTTGGCTGTGTCTTCCAGCTCCTCTGGCTAGGAAATGACCCAGGAAAGTTCTGTAGGGGTGGGTGCCCTGTGCAGGAGGTGGCATGGGAAGGGGCTGGCCAGCCGTTTCGGAGTGGGCCGGGAAAGAGGGGGGTTTGGAAAGGGTGGGGTGTACCTGAAGTCGCTGTAGGGATGGATGATCCAGAACCCGGCAGACTTAACTCTTTCCTGCTCTCTCTCCACGGCCTTCTGGCTGCCAAACATCCTCAAGGAGAATTTGTTGACCCCCGGCTGGAGCATGGCCCCGAACTGCCTCTGCATGAAACCGGCCTGGCCGAGCCTCTGCTCCTCATCTGGGGTGATCTGGTCGCACCCTCCACCTCCCTCCACTTTGATGGAGGTCGAGGAGCAGGCCCGGGGGGGCGGCTGCTGGGGCTCCGGGGGGGAGGCGGGCGGTGGGGGCACAGGCAGCCCCTGCTCCAGCTCCCCGCTGCCGGGGGGGCTCTTGTCCTCCCCGGGAGAGGCCGGCTCCCCCTCGCCGCCGATGAGCCGCTTCTCCTCGGCCGCGTCGTGGAGGTGCCTGCTGGTGAGCGAGGACAGGCTCCCTTTGAAGCGGCGGCAGTCCCCGTTGGTGCTGGTCTTGGCGCCCTTGCCGCCGGCCTCCGTCTCCAGCAGGCCGGGGTCTCCCCCTCGGCCGGGGTCCCCCCCGAGGGCCCGGGTGCTCCCAGCAGAGGGCGAAGGCAGTGGCTTGAGCCTGATGCTTTTCCTGCGGGTGTCCTTGTCGCTGTCATCCTCCTCGTCCATGATCGACGCCTTGGGTCCGATCTGCTGGGGCAGGCTGTAGAGCCTCTTGCGCATGGAGGGGGGCAGCTTGTCCATGGCCGCTGCTGCTGCTGCTGCTGCTCGGGGACAGGGAGAGACCCCCCCGCTCTGCCCAGCGAGGGGAACCGGCACTGCCCCCAGGCCCCTGCCCCCGGCTCACGGGGCACGGGGGACCAGGGACTGGCGTGTCATCTCCTTACCAGGCTGTGGCATCCACAGGCTCTGCATCAAAACACAGGCTCTGCATCCAGAAGGGAAGGGAATGAGGGATAAAAAAAAAAAAAAAAGGAAAAAAAAAAAAAAAGAGGGAAGGCAAAAAGCTCCCCCTTCTCCTCCGTTGTCCCGATTTGGCTGCTTGCTGCTTGTCTCCCCTTGGTGAGTGTTACTGCAATCCCTGTCTGCTCAGATGCTGAGCACTGGGCAAGTAGTCTAGAGGAGAGCCACACACTTCTGGCTGGAAGGCGAGGGAGGGCGGCAGCGGCGGCAGCAGCCGCCTTGCCATGTTGGCTTCGAGATGCAAATGTGCCGTGGCTCCCGGCGGGCAGACATCATCCGGAAAGCGAAGCTCAAGCCTCAAACTCCTCAACCTGCCGGCCAATAACACAATGAACTGCAACCTGCAGCGGCCACTGCTTGCTTACATCACTGTCATCACTTATTCCTCATGCAGCCCCTGCTCCTGGGAATATTCATGAAGCGATCCCATTCTATTGGGTTGCCATAGGAGCGACTACAGCGCACAGGCTCTGCCTACCTGAGACAGCACCCGGGCTTCTTAAAGGGGCAACGCCCGGCAACCGCGGGCTCCGCCGCCGCCGCGGGCACCGCGCCCCGGGCGCTGCGGGCACCGCGCTGCGGGCACCGGGCAGCGCCGGGCCCCGGGCCCGCCCCGCGTCAGCGGCCACGGCCGCCGGGCTGCCGCCAGCTTATCAACAGCAGCATCGTAAACATGACAAAGTAAATAAATAGGAGCGAGAATATTCCTTTTTCTCTCGGATGCGGGCGCTCCCTGCTCCGCCCGGAGGTGTGGCTGCTGGGGGCAGGTTTGCTCGTGAAGGCACGGGGGGGTTTTGTGGGAAGGGGCGAACCCAAATCTAAAGGAAAACCAGCGGTTCACCTTGAAAATCGCACTTGCATGCAAAGCAGGGGCTCGGGAGTGCCTGTGCTCCCTAGCAGAAGTTTGCCTGCCGGGAACACGCTGCCTTCGCCCCCGTCCGCAGCGTCCCGGAGGTTTGGAAGGACCCTTCTTCCCTGGCTGTCGGTACTATTGCTCTCCTGCGGGGTTGGATGTGCAGAAGTCATCCAAAACCGAATCAATAAAAGGCAGCTGCATCTGGGCGAGCTCCGCCGCTGGCCTGCGGGAGGCTGGGCTGGCGCTGCGGGCTGCGTGGGCTCTCCCGCGGAGGGGGAACCCCACTTCCCAGGGGGCTCCTGAGTCAGCACTGCCCGCCCAGGCTGCTCGGGGAAGCCGCTCATGCTGGCAGTGCTGCTGCCCCTCGCTGCTGCCCACAGGGCACCTCCTGTCACTGAGGCAAAACAGCGGGGAAAACGGCTACAGTTAGGCATTTCCCTACCTTTTGATATTTGAGAGGGTTTTTCTGGGGAAAAAGAGGGAAAGAGGTGGCAGTCAGCCCTGCCCGTGCTGCTTTGGGAATGGCTGCTTATTCTGTTCAAAACGCTCCTAGGTTGATAAAGTGGTTCACACAGTTCCTACTGCCGAGCCTGTGAAACCAGTGGAATAAAATAAAGAATCTGTTTGGTCATATGAGAGATTTTGGTGTGTATTTTTGCAGAGGTTCAGCATCTGAGGCTTTCTAGAATGTTTGTTGTTTCAGACATTGCAAATCCTACCTGCTAGGAGAAGGAAACCACGTGAACTGCGCAGGCAGGGAGGCTGAGCACAGCAAGGAATGCCCACGGCAGGCAGGGAGGAAATCCCCACCTCACCTCTGTGCTTTTGCTTTGGGAGCAAATATTCCCCTTTTTCCTTGCAGGAGCCACTGGCCAGAAGTGACTGTGCCATGCAAAGCAGCAGGATGTTCCTGCATCTCCACGGCAAGGAAATGCTGCTCAGCAGTGACTCCACCAAGCACACACACAGCACATGCTTCCTCATCTTTGTTTGCCTCTCCTGAATCCTTTCTCCCATGTGTTCTACCTGCTCCTTTTCTACTCCCACCTCCTGGCACAGCCAGACTGCCTGTGACTCATTCCAAATACTCCACAGTGCAAATATAATTTAATATTATTATTTTCATCACAATTTCTAATAGAACGAGCTTTTCTGAGGAAATAAATTTCATTCTTCCAATGCTCCTGTAGATTAGATAACGTGAACTAAGCCAGGGAGAGCACTAAAGGTCTTTTCCCTGTTTTTCTTCCCTCCTGCAGGCACTAGGGATGCTGAGGTGTAAGCACTTCTGTGCCCCAGCTGCAATCAACTGCCTTCCAAAAGGATGTGTGTTGATTAATGAGGTGCACCAACATCTGAAACTGATGCAGCTTCTTAAGCGTAGTCCCTCGTGTTCCCAGGGAATGACAGAGCAGGAAAGGACGTGCCCAAGCAACCAAGCTGTTTGTCCTCTCTCAGCTAGAGGTGCTCTGGCTGCCACTCGTGGAAATGCCACTGTTCCCTGGCCTGGATGGCATTGTTGGGCCTGATGTGGTGACAGGATCAGGCTGTGCCTGATTTGGTGACAGGATCAGGTTCTCTCCCAGCCCTGAGGCAGAGGGAGAATACCACAGGGCAGCCAGCAGCAGAACTCTGCTCCACCCCTTGTGCAGGAGGACAGAAATGACGGGGAGCAGAGGCTGAGCCGGGCTGTGGGCACACCCTGCACCATTCCAGAGGGATGGATATATCCCTGTGCCCGGGAGCCTGGCACTGCCCAGCCCCACTGGCCAGTCTGTACATCACAGCTGCAATTCCTCACTCACAGACCACAGCTACCTTTACACCTCTCTGTAAGAAAGATGAATCTAAGGAAGCTCTGTTAGTTCATGGAATCATCCCAAGTGCTAAATCCAGAAGGTGCTCCTTGTGCACTTCTGTCTCCAAGTGTGGGTTCCTGAACACTTCTAAAAACTTGGCTCCAGCGGTGCCAGATAGCCAAACTCAGAGGAATTTCTTGACTCTTTAAATGTAGTGACAATTTTGTGTTGAAACAACTTCAAAGTAATGGTATTTTACTTGAGAGCCTTCCAAGAACTAAGTGTAGAGGATGGGAATTATCCTTGTCTAATGTTATGAAACCACTATCAGAGATGGAATTTATTGCCAGCATTGTGGCACTGCTTTCCAGGGCAGCAAATGCACCTTTAGAAGCAGATTTTTAAAATATTTCACTGTCTTGAGTATCACTGGCTGCACTGTACATTCAAAGGGGGGATGGAGAAGTCACCTGTCAGGAAAAGGAAGAACTGGTTTTGAGGGAAATAATCTCCTTTTCAACAATATTTGTCAATACTGTTCCAAGGGACTTGGCATAGATACAAAGGGAATGGATTTATTGGGGAGAATGCAGGTGAAGCAGCCAACGATTTGTTTGTTTCTTAAGGAATTTTGCCAGCTCATATTGCTTATAAATTTTTTTAATATGCATATAGATGGTATTTTGATAAAAATCCAGTGCTACACTGCAAATGTGAAAAATCCCATCCCAAATGAGCTCAGGACTACAGAAGAATAGATTGAGAGCCATAAGAACTGACAGATATCCTGTGGCTCAAGGTACAGAAACAGCAGTGCAAGCTGGTCTTTTAGCCCACCTTGGCTCAGCTGAGAGTTCCCATCATCACCCTTGAGCCTCTGGACTCTCAGGTAAAAAAGGAGTCACTAAACATGTGGCAGGCCTTGGAAGGATGGGAGCAAGTCTTTTCAAAGCTGCCTATTGTTCCTAGCAGGCAGCAGGTAACTCATAATTGGCATTTGAAACTCATGAAATATTCAACACTACAAAGCAGAGAAATTCTGCCTTGGAGTTTTGGTGGGAGAGGCTGCACTGGCTGCCTCTGCAGCTCCCTCACAGCTCAGAGATAATGAAGAAATAATCGTGAGAAATACACAAATCCTCGCTCACCCTTGGCCCTATTCATTACCCAGGTGTGCTGTCACACTGCACTCATTGAAATTCAGCCTGGGCTTTGCTCCTGCTCTGTGTTCCTTAGAGGAGCTGCAGAGTGGGGACTGCAACATACAGCCCAGGCTGATTTAAGGCCCAGAGGGCACGAGGCTGGATAAAGGATATCTGGATATCCTGTACATGGTTAGATATCCTTTGGGTATCCTTTAGATATCCTTAAGGGTGTCCTGGATAAAGGCTCCACTGTCAAGGAGCAATGGCAAGGGAGATCCATGCCTGGGATCTGGGCAGGGGGACAGACAGGGAGATCCCCAGAGCTGCTGTCAGGATGGAAGGAAGGGTTGCAGTGGGTTTTGAGGCAGAACTGTTCCAAGTCCATCAGTGGAGACACTGACCAGATCCCCAGCGGCGGCGGAGAGCGGAGCCTGGCACGGGAGCTCAGATACACAGCAGGGTGGAAAAGCTGCTCCCAGGAAGTGCTTGGAAAGCAATGATAACTCCAGCTTCCAGGGGAAAATAAATCCAGAGCAAGCCTGCTCTCTTCACCCTTGTAACCAAGATCAGAATGTCAGTACTTGTCACGGGTGTGAGGGGGTTGCTGGGAATGTGCTGACAGCCAACAAACTGCTTTGCAACCCAACTGCAAAAAGGACATTATCGAAAAATTCAGCCACGTTGGTGGCTATGGAAAGAATTCCCAGACTCTGCAGCAAATAACGCCCTGAAATTTCCAGGATGTTCTGCAGAAGATGGTAATCCTCACTGCAGCAAGCAGCTGAAAATCCTACCTAGGAACAGAGTGATTAGCATGAGCCTCTTGGCACCTGGCCTTTTACACTCCCCTTGGAGAATAGGAACCTTCCTAGAAATAGGAAAAGAGACACAGTTAACCATGGATGGAGCTGCAAGGAAAAGAAATGACAGAGATCAGAGGAGCTGCTGAGATTAGAGCAGCTACATGATTTAGTCACAATT